TTCATTCTTGTTTTGGCCTGTACATGATTGGTATAGGCTAGTCTCAGGTTGAGTAGGGATTTCTAGCCCTTAATTGTGATTAGTGATGGTCATATGCAAAGGTCGGTTCAAGAAGAGTAATTTCAGTTTTTTTTCCCTGTTTCCAGACTGAACTTGGACTGTCATTTTCTCTGTGCTTTAGACCGAACCAGCTTTTGCTCAAAACATGAAAGTTGTACGTATATGAGTTAGCTATCTACCTGCAAAATTTCAGATTGATCGGAGTACTGTAACTTGTGAATTGACCGAAATACCCCTGACTGTTCATAGACCCTGTTTTGTGGACAGTTTTCTGTCCTCTCCTAGATTTCGATATTTGACCCTGAAATTGTACGTTTTGACTTTGGAAGTCTTCATAAGAAATGTTGGTATATGTCTTAACTTCGTAACGCCATAAGATTTGTCTCAACCGGATAAGTGTAGCTTCCATTATGATTAAAATGCCAAAAGGTGGCAGGAACTTGTTAAGTTTAGAATTCCTTTTATTTGACATGCTATTTGTAATTTAGGACTTCGACTTGTGCAAGGCAATGAGGTACTATGGATGGTTCCTGAGCTGTGATTTGGTGAGTGTACTACTCACTTGAATGTTTACAATGTGGCTTTGCTATATGTGATTGTGATGCCTTGAAGGCTTATTTGGTCATTGGAATTGATTAAGGTGAGGGTGTACTTGACCGCCCTCACCCCTTTTGATACTGTTCATGACTATTTACCGTTTCACTGTAATACTGAACTTGATATATGAGTTATTGAATTTCATTCCGTGGAAACCTGATTTGGTGTCGTTTGGACGAATATCCAACGGCCTTACTGTATTACTGAGCTCAACCCCGTTGGTAGTCAATTGAATCGAGCCGGCGAGGGCTTGGTCGTGAAAATTGACATGCCACGGGGACTGTACTGGGGAATCTTGTAGTAATGAGACTCTTGATTCCGGTAAACTCGAGTATTACCAAAAGCTACTGATTGGAGTGCGGGCCCGGTTGGGGTATGTTGGGTGGAAGGAATGGAAGTGAAGTGAGGTCTACGGTTGGTACTTTTAAACATTGACGGAGGGTCAATGAGGTTGGATCAAGAATGCAAGCGTGGAAATGGGCTCTTGAGAGCCGTCCGTATCCTTTTACTGATTTGTTTTATTCCTTAATTGTGTACTTGAAATGAAAGGTTATGCTATATGCTCTTCGTTGCTTATGTGGTAGTAACTCATTGAGCTTTAGCTCACTCCGTTCCATTTGTTTTCCTTACAGGAAAATGACTATTTTGGGAAAGGTTGTGCTAGTTGATTGTCAAGTTGAGCTCATGTAAATGTATATTTTGAATAGCTCCTTGAGGGTGAAAACCCTAAGTGTTTTGTTTCAACCAATGGTTGGTTTGTAATTGGTTAATTGCACATGTATGAACTTGTTGGATTTTGGTATGCCGCTTTGGCTTGTAAATGTTAAATTTTGATGTATATATTTGAATCTTATATTGTAATTTATTGGAGAACTGTAGTGATTGACCGAGTTCTGGCGAGAGTTGGGCAGGCGGCCCGCCGAACCCTCTGGTTCGCCTTAGGGGAAAGTGGGGTCGTTACAATTCCCATTTCCTAAAATCACTAATATTACAAATATCATTCAACATACATCTATATCACATAACTTAGACTTTGATAACATTAAAAATCAGATGAATCTCTTATTTCCTTTAATCCTTTTTTTCTTTTAATCTCATTTCAATTCTCAAAAACCCTAATACCTCAAAAACCATTTCACATACTTTCGGACCATATAACCTAAGCTCTGATACCACTAAAAAATGTCACGCTCCGAGCCTGCACGTGCCCGTCACATGACATCCGCCGTACTCTCAAGTCTCACTCAAGAATACAAGGCTACATTAACTAATTTAACCTTAACAGTACTAAATAATTCCACTAAATAAAGTGCGGTACGAATTACATATAAGAGAAAGTCTACGAATATTCAAAACATTCGTACATTTATTCTCCAATTGAAACAGCGGAAACAAAAGTAAACAAGACTAACAACTAGAAGTAGCTAGTCTGCCAACTTCTATTCATTTAAAACTAATAAAAGTCATCTTCAGGGTCTTCTACGTAAACCAATTCATACTCTTCAGAATCTGCAAAAATGGTAAGGAGTGGGTTGAGCGACACATCACTCAGTAGGTAATATTTACCCCTCTGTTGGACCATGTACTCGTAACTTTATAGATACATACATATATAAGTACAACTCAAATCGTTTGCATATCCTTCACATTCATAATTTTGAAAGTAACGTTATTTGTAAAGCAATCAGTAGTAAAGAATGACAAGCAATTTAAAAGCATCTTATTTATAGTTGTACATGAGAAATCGTAAAGTCATAAATCATTTCGTCTCAAGTCGCAAATCTCTTTATATCCATTCGTAAATCAACTCATATCAGTTCATAAGTCTCATTTTGAATCAGTTCATAAATCATTCCATCAGATCAGCTCATAACAAGTACATGCAATGACCGGCTACTGAGTATTCACCCTAGAGATTAGACCCCTTCTAGGTGGGCGACCAATAGATTTCATGACTATCGATTGATTTCATTTCATTCTTGGGTGAATCGGCCGGACTTTATACCAGGCTACCACAGCCTTGCCAATCGACCGGACTTTATACCAAGCTACCATGGCTTTGTCAATCGGCCGGACTCTATACCAGGCTACCATGACCTTACCAATCGACCGGACTTTATACCAGGCTACCATGGCGATTAGGCAGGACTATAGCCCCTACCGTCTATTCCATGACTGCTCTGAGCTTTATTTGTCAAAATTCATTTCGTATTTCATATACATAACTCTTGGCTTTCATAAAAGATTCATCTCATTTTATATATAAGAACATATCAAAACATTTCAAATAAGTCACATGGTCCATTTTTGTATAGTAAAATATAGATTTCATAAATATCCAAGTAAAGCATTTAATCAAACACATTTCGAGTCAACACAGCCGAATAGGATTGAAAACAAGAATTTCATTTACACATTTGAAATCTCAGAAGGGTAAGTACCACCTACCTCTGTTTGGCTGCTCGAGTGGAACTATCTTAGGTCCTTGTATTGCACCTATCAAATGCATAGGTTCCCTAATTAGTTACTACTTCCTATAAATGCATAAATACACAACCCCTAAGTAAGTACAAGATTCATATCTAGACCATTATATGGACCCTAATAGCATTCCCCTCAAATTGGACGATTTCTTTTTTTGGAAAGTTTCCTAATTTGGAAAGTTTCTATTTTTAGAAAGTTTCTTAATTTGGAAAGTGTTCATTTGTGAAGTTTCCTAATTTAAAAGGAAATAATTTATCCACAATCCCATTTACTATTTTGAGTATTGTCTTACTATACATATTTATAATTTATAATTATTCATTATTATTATTATTATCGTTCTTGTCGCTGCTTTATTTTATTACCACTTATATATCTATTTGTTAATTAGTTACTATTCCCTTTCACTTTATTTCCACTTTTAAACATGTGTAAGTATTATTATTATTTATGTATACATGTACATATATATATATATATATATATATATATATATATATATATATTGGCCTGTTACAATTAGTATTGTCTTAGTTTATTTCACTCGTATTTATACTTTTATCTTCGTTTATATCATTAATTTATTTCTTCCACGTCTATATTGTTATTATCCTTACTAATATTGCTTGTTAACTATTAGTATTATTATTATTATTATTATTATTATTATTTTAAACATTTCGTTTAACAATTTAGAACTTATCTTACCTTGTCTAATTTGGCTTAATACGGCTAAATTATAGTATTTTAGATTTCCATTTAAGTATCTTATACGTAATTAACTAAGAATAATTTTACATGACTAACCTTTCAATTCTAACAATTATTTTAAATTGGGTCCTGAATTTTAATACCCACGATAACCTATAAAAATGGACTAGTTATATTCGAAAAATTTATTTATTAAACATTTACTAAATTTTATATTATAGTTTAGTCCATATCTAATTTGCCATATTAATTAGAAAGTGGGTTGGACACATGGCTGGCCTCTGATCATGGTCGCCAGAGAGTCTGGTGACCCAAGTCTTCAATTGGTTGGCCGACAACGGCCAACTATAATCTTGCTCCAAAATTTTTTTTTCTTTTGGTCTTGGGTTGGCTGAAAAGGCCAACCTTTGGGATTCTTCTTCTGCCGCCAGAGATGGCGGCCCCCGTTTTTTTTTTTGTGGCGTTGCAGCCAAAACACAGCGGTGGCGACTACCGCTGCTCTTCTCCTTTTTTTTTTTTTTTCCTTTCGACAGATTTGGGGCAACACATTCATCTAACATCCTATTTTTACTAAATCAAATGAATCCTCCTAAATCTCATATACAAGCATATATCTCTATATAGAACATAATACATATATGTAAAATCTTTAGGATAATTAATCCGACTAATAGAACTTAAAAGAGAAGTTTCACATGAATTTAGGACTTACGAGTTTAGGGGTCTAGTCGTCTGATTGATTGATGGCGACGCCTGTTTCTCCTTCTCTACTCTCTGACGGCTCTTGCTCTAAGGGGAGGCAGACAATGAAAGGTAGGGAATAGGTTATTTTTTTTCTTTGTTGTTTTGATAAGTATGTTAAACCCTAACAACCACCCACTAGTAGGTAGTTTAGATAGGAATTTTAACTATAGTGAACTTTCACCCTATTTTATCTCATCTTACCCCTTACTTAACCATTTAACCTAACCTGCAATTATTTTTGCTTTTACCCATAATAAATTACCATTTAATTAAATTGGGCAAGATAAAATGAGCCCAAAAATCGTGGATTTTACACAATCTCAACAGCTTAATTAGATACAGTTCAAGATCAAACGGAGAAGAGACTGCCAGCACAGAAAATGCTAAATTTGCATTTGCACCATTTAAGAGAGACATGCAACTTCACCAGCTTCCACGTAAGCCAACAAAGCCAATCTACCAATACAACCCAACTCAATCTGTAGAACAGCAATATGTTAAGGTGAAATTCCATATTTAACCACCTAGTCATGGTGGCCAAATGGGAACCATGACTTCTATTCATAAGCCAACTCTCCTTTTTATCCCTTTTAGGTTTCATAGGAGACGAAATACATATCAATGATTTACTATTAATTTTTTTTCCTTCTCTTTCCTCAATAGTGTCTTATGGTGATATTGCTCATTACAACTACTGATGGCCTTTGCAAGACTGTCTCACAAGTCGCATATCCCTTTACATATCTAAAGACTTTCGTCCTACAAACTACTTAAAGCTCTCTTACCCGGGCACGTTGTATGCTACGTCCTTGGAATTCCAATGTGCTCCCATTATACCTTTTGTTTGTAAAGCTAAAGGAAAACAATCCGTGCGAGTTAGCTCCATCGAGGGATGAGGTTGCATAAATCCCTTGGCTGGGGCCAATTTGTGGGGAATTGATACTAATGCCTTCTATTATGGTAGCATCAGCAACAAAAACAGTTCCAGATTGAAAGGCATTTCCTGGCCTGTCGGGTATTCCTGCAACCGCTGCAACAGTCGCATTTGGTCCAGCAGTGAACTCTTGAATGAACACGGTCATCATTGTTTTCCTTTGGAAGGCAATGACGTTCATGAAGATGAGCTTCTGAACAGACAAATCTTGAGAGTAAAAGCACTCTACATATTTGGATTGATGTTAGAATAAAACATTTGGCCAGTGGCTAAAGATGTTGTTGAAAATGTATATGGAAAGTAGCAGTAGGTGCAAGGTGAAAGCAAGTTGCTAAGTGACTATAAATAGCAATTCCAGATTCCTCAACAACTGGATAAATTGTAGATGAGAAAAATATGCAAATTTGATGTATTGAACTTGCAATACATGATCTCTTGTTTATATGTCAAGGAAATTACATGTAGGGGTTGCAATTTCTAACACAATGGAATAATACAATTTGAGTGTGATCTAAAAATAATAGGTTTAGTACAAAAAGAGTATAAGTAGGTCATTATTGGATTCACGTTAATGACACGAATTTAAATGGGTTGAGTTGGATAAATCCACAGGTCGTACAATGATTCAATAATAGCTAAACTTTATCACCATGGTTTTTGTTGGTTTTCTTTTTTCCTTTGTTTCGATAAATTTTTCCTTTTTTTCCTTTAGAAGATTGAAAAAAAAAAAAGAGAAAATTGAATGCTTATAATAAGGATGGTTTCATGGCAAAGCTTGCTAGTTTTGTTCGAAGATTTAAATTAGAAGTTTTGGTAGCTCATAAGTTCAATGTCTAATTATGGTAGTATTAGAGTTTTTCTTTGTTGAAAATTCTAAAACTTGAGACTCGTTTCATACTAAGAAGACTTCATTGCCTATCATATCTTTAAAAACTTTGAAAACTCTTTAAGTTCTATGTTTCATTATGTATTATTGTATTTCAATCTTGAATTCATATATTGTTAAAATCTAGTGTTGAAATGTTAAACTATTTTTTATGTTTTGAACTTTGAATACCTTATTGAATACAAATTATAATCTCTTAATAGTCATTTTCAAGTTAAATGAGAAAAGAAGTTTTCAAATCACATATATTTATTTCAAAATAGAAAGAATTTGAATTACTAATGGTATGAAACTTGTTACCCTTGAATAAAATTGAAAAAAATTGAAACCATTTGGGGCAATTTTATAATTTTGGACAAGATTTTGAAAAGCTTTTGGCAGAGTATCCCTTTATAAATGGACAAAACTCCCTGTCAATAAACCTAAGATTAACAACATTCAAGTGCAAAAAATATTTTCAAGGCAAGTCCTAATCATTTCAATCACAACCAACATATATAATTTCAATTCTTCCCTCCACACTTAATATGCATATTGTTCTCAATATGTAAAAGGAGATACCAATATAAAGAAAGGAATACTCTCCTATTGATGTGATTGAAGTGCGCAAATATGAAGTTCTAGAATCCATCATGAAATTTATGATCCATTTGCTGCAATTTTACAAAAAGGAAACTTCATGAGTTCCATTTGTAACCATTAATAATAGAAACCTAAGAATGAGAAACAAACTACTATGGTTTAAGACAAGCAAAGGCAAAAACAAAGGTATTAATAAAATATAAAATGGTGATTCGTAACTCTATGCCTTTGTCTTTGTGATGTACCCATATAAAATTGACAAGAAACTTCTCAATGCACAATAAAACACTTTACTTCACACATTTTTCACTCCAAAACTTCCACACAAATTGCTATATTCTTCATATATTCAAAATTTATCATCCAATCAAGTTCTATATGAAGATTAAGCAATCAAATTGTCTAAAATATCACCATATAAGGAATGTATACATGCAAATATCATAAACAAGTCACATTTTAGCAATTTGAACCATCCAATTATGCTTAACAATATTTCAAGAGCAATTACTATATTGATCATAAAATAGAAATATGCATAAATTAAAACATTGCATAGATCATCACATTCTCATATTTGATCATCTAAACATGCTTTAAAATGTTAAATAAGCATAATAGAACTTATATACATCAACAAATAATATCACAAATTCACCATTTAAAGTGTATAATAAGAGTATAATTTACGTGTTTTTAGTGTGTTTTATTAGTTAGTTTTGGTGAGTTTTATTTAGTTTTATAACTAATTAGTTAGGGTTTTGGTACAAATATACATTTTGTGATTTAAGTGGCAAAAATTGCATTTCTATGGATTTTACTGGTGAAAACTTCATGTTTTTGTAGGTTTAATGATTCAATCATCAAATAGCATGAATTGAGAAGAGAATTGGATAATTATTGATGATTTGAAGAGGTTTAAAGAAGACATGAAGTGCAAAACATTCAAAGGAAGAAATGCAAGTGAAGACAGTTTTGACACTTTATCATATTTCGGCCATATCTTGAGTTACATGTATTAGATAGAGGTGATTCTCATCGTATTTTGAAGCTAAGAGATAGATCTACATTTGGTGTGAAGACATTGAAATCCAGTTTAGTCATTTTCCTTGTCAAAAGGTCGAAATACAGAAGTATATGTGTATGATCGAAAGATGAAATAGAGCTATGAGCAGTAAAGGGTATGATTCTTAATTCATTGGAAATATAATCAAAGGGCTATAACTTTCATATTTTGCACAAGAGCTAGTTCAGTCTCCATCATTGAGAAAATAGCAGTTGAAATGATGCCAAATTCACTGAAGTGAATACGCGACTCTTGAATATGAGAGTGGAAGTTGCGTATTCCATAGTCGTGTATTGTAGCCTGATTTCTACAATTTGCTCAACCACTAGCTCTGCTTTCACACTACTTTCCAGCTCTACTATAGACAAGAATTTCGGCTGCACATGTTCAAGGAAGCTTTTGGAAGAAAAAAGGAGCTTTATGTCTTGTCCAAAAAATCTCTTTTTGACTCTCTTAACACTAGAGATGTTAGAATCATTAGGAGGGAGAGAACAGAATATATGAGGGGTGGTTCTCATCAGATTTAAGTAGGAGAACTTAGTAGTAAGTCTTGTTTTGTTCTCTTTAGCTAGAACTTTGGTGAGAACAATTGGAGACTTCATTGTACAACTCATTTGTTGAAAAAATAGAAGATCATTGGGTGCTTCTTCACTAATTTTGGCTAAGTTTTCCTTATCTATCTTTTACTTGTGATTCAATGTGTTCATGTAATGAAGCAATGTTCTTTCTTGTCATTTATTCCATGAGTAGCTAAATTTCTAAATCTAGGGAGTAGATGAATCTTATGGCTATTTGATATGAAGTGAATATGATTTACACTTGTTACACCTTGTATTAACTTGTCTATTTATGCATGCTTATCACTTGTTGTTGCTTAATCACGAATAACAAGTTTTTAGTTGTCATTATTCAATGAAAGTTGGTAATAATGATAGAACAATATAAATAGAGCTTGAGTAGTAGACTCATGAGAATAGAGATACACTTAAGTGGATTAAACTTGCATTTCATGAAGGAAACAAGAGTAGATATAGTTATTCACCATGAGAATAGGGAAAACTAGTCTATTTTAGGCCATTTCATCATGAGAATAAGATTTGGCAATAGTGGAAATGAATCCTTAGTTAAATAAGAGTTGTAACAAGAGGTAACTCTATTTATTTGTATCTCTTATGCCATAAGTAAAGTCTATATCCCTAAACTCAAGTATTTAGTGAATTTCTCCATTGTTACCTTGCAAGTATCTAGTTAAGACTAGTTAGGAAGTAGCAATTACAACTTCTCTTGCTTAAATTGATCATTAGTCTAAATAATAGAGTAAGGAAGGACCTAGTACTTGCAAAGTTGCTCCTTGTGGGATTGACTTGATATATACCCTAGACTACTAATTTGACTTGTATGCTTGCAGTAAAACGGGGGTAATTCGGAATTAAACTTGCACTTATATCAAAAACCCGTCAGTGTATCATTAAACTCAAAAGATATGCAAATGATAACTATTAAAATACCAAGTTAAGTTCAAGAAATTTACTTCATATTGGTAGAGTGATGTTTGGTGATGCAAAAATCCCTATGAAACATCCTTAAATTGTGTGATACCCCAACTTTTAGAATACTATTGTTGTTAGTCTCCAAGAGGATATTATGATTTCTTTATTTAAGACATTGTTTTGTTTTAAAAACGAGAAAACCCTAAATTCTAGAAACCCTAAAGTCTAAACAAAAACCCTAATTTACTTGTGATAAACCAGTTTTCTTAAATCTCTCATTTTGAATCGAAACCCTAATTATAATCACTAGAATTGTAAAATCCCTCATATTTTCTTAAAATTCCTTTTATTTGGCATTTATTTCCTAATTATAGCTATACTACTCATTTACATCCCCAATGTTTAGAATAAAGAATAGAATTAAGAGTTTTCCCTTTTGCATTCATCGTTAGGGTAAATTAAGATTTTTACGCTTATCCATAGTGTGACTATCCGGTACGGAGAGTGGATCATATTTGGTGATTAAGAGTGAGTTTTAGATGATATTAAGTGTATGATTAGAAGTGATAATAATAAGTTAGTGAATTATAAGTGAAAACCCTAGTATACGCGATTTAAGGAAAATTGGCTCGAACCAACGGGTATCGTTCACTACCGATTGAACCCACCATTTGACCATCATTTTTTCAAGTTAATCTCCTTATTCTTAGAGCCTAAATATCAGCCAAAATCTGATCATGGTGGCCGAATTTTTTGACCACCAAAACAAGGAAAAAGGAAAAAATTTAAGAATGAATCTTGAAGCAACAAGTGGCGGTCTTCCATTGGATTGTTGACTAATTAATTTACACCATATTTATCACCAAAAACCAACCAATTTCCTCCATAATTTCAGCATACCAACCGAGAGCAAGAGAAGGAGAACAGTGAAGAGAGTTTTCCAATTTCCAACCTTGAATCCAACATTTTGAGTGTAAACAAGAAAAAACTAAACCGATTAAACACTAGTTTGGGAGCTTAGGAAGCTTGGAAGTTAAACTTTGCAAGGAGTAGTGGAGGATATCCTTTGTAAGTTTGTTATTGAGGTATATTGGCTGTCCTTTATCTTTGGTTCTTTTATTTTT